AAGTGATCTCTGTTTCTTTATAGGGCCACTTGGCTGCAGCTGCATGGTGCCCCTTAGACCCCCATATGAATTACCTCCATGCCCCTGCTTGTTCTGATGATCACTGGTTTTTGATGAGTTGGTTTTCTTGTTGATCTTGGCTGGGTCATGATCTTGGCCCTCTTTTCTGCATGAAGATGAAGAGTTTGAGGAATTTTGGGACTTTTCTTTTGTGTCCTCCTTCTGGGTAAGGCACCAATTGCAAATTCTGTAAGACTCTGCATTTGGGTAAAGATTGCTACAGTACCTGTACATGAAATTGGATCATAAAACTGTCAAAATTGAATTATAAATGAATTTTGATCATAACCCAAAATTTAAAAGAAATTAAAAACATATAAAAAGAGTAGTTTGTGTAATTTAGGACCTGTGCTGAGATCTGAATTGGCAAACCTTGCATTGGAAGAGCTCATAGGAGAAGCCAAAATCCCCACACATGCAGCACTCATGGGTTGGTTGGGCTGCTGCTGCTGCTGTGGTTCCTTTGCTGCTTGTCATCTTCTTGTTTTTGTTGTTCTGTTAATTTCTATTTTCATGCACAGAGAGAGAGAGAGAGAGAGAAGGGGGAAGGTGTGATGAAATAATAGAGATTTTGGTTGGCCGACGACCACACAACAAAAAAGCCACAAAACATGTAAAGGGGTGTTTTATTGGGTTAAATAAATAATTATACATTATATAATAAGAAGAAAAAAAAATATGCACATCATTTTTATTTTTGGTATGGCCTGTGTCAAACGTATTATTATAATAATTTCGTAAGAATAAAAGGAAATGAGGTTTTCCTTTTTACTTTGATTTGTTTGGGTCTGCGTGTTCTCGAGGTCTTGCTTGTAATTTTTCTTTTTAGCATGAATAAATAAAAATTATAAAATTGCTTTTGTTTTCTTTTTTTATTCTTTAGAAATGAATGTCATTTTCCAGAATTAACAATAAACGTTGAAAAGAAAAAAAAGCAAAAAAAGTCATAGAGAGGTAGAATATGATTTTTCTTAACAAGGCTCCTCCGTCCTGTCACGCAACCAATAATTGCCTGACACTTGTCATTCATTGAAAATTATAATTTCGGCTTGTTTTTAGTTACCTTTTCTGGATTCCGCGGTTAAAAGCCTCTGCATCGAATCCATGCGGGGGATAATTGTTTTTGGATTACGTTTGGGATGAGATCACAATCAACCTCACTTTCTCGGCTAACGGTAAACAAGTCTCATATACAAGTCGGACTGGTTAGTACTGGAGGATAAGTTGGTATTTTCACATGTATAATATCATGAATATTTATAATACGTGGATGTATTATACTATTTTACTAAATAAACCCAATCCTAGACATGTATTTATAAAAAAACCCAAACACTATTTAAACATAGAAACACACCCAAAATCAACCCCAAAGTCAACTTTTTGGGTGTGTTTATAAATGGGTTTTGAGTGTGTATAATGATGGGTTTTGGGTGTGTTTATATGTTTAAATAGTGCTTGGGTTTTTTTATAATTTCAGACCCCATTTTGGGTGTTTTAGTGAAACTCCCTTAACTTTTCTACACTTCAATTATAATGTGTGGACAAATTATACTTCATGACAAGATTTACGTTAGAAATTTTGTCCCAATACACATGACTAAATTATATTGATACCAAAATCAAATTTGGCATGGCATCTTTCATTTTAGGAATTGTTGTCATTAATTTCTTGCTATATAAGAATCAAATACATTGTTGATACTATGTCAGTTTTAAATTCAAAACACGTAAGAAGTGATGTTAATAATATTTCTCTTTTTAACTTTAAATGAGATTCTGAGTTCAAATTTTATCGTATTAAAAAGATGAAGATGGTGGTGGTGATAGAAAGGGTGTAGATTGATTAGCTTATGGAGGAAATGGGGTTGAAAATGAAAAGGGCAGTTGAATGATATATAAAGTTAACAGATTCTTGGGTGGCATATGAAGAAAGCTCAATACAATATACAATGAATTCGATGTGGAAGACTGCTGCAAACACTCAACGTTGTCCAGCTGTTATGAAGCATTTAACAATATATATATATATATATTGGAGCGCCCCTTAGGGGAGGATGACACACGCTCAAAGTTAAATAGATGGTCAAACTAAAACTACTTTTTAAAACTGTTCAAACCAAATGCATGGTCGGCTCAAATACTACCTGAAAAAAGAAGAAGCAATTAATTATATCTAAATTATATTCTATCATGAACATTGAACTCCATTATTGAATTCTTCTTCGTTCTTCTGCTGAAATAAAATTCTGGTAGCTACGGATAGTAATCTAGGGTCAAGGTGGGCAAAGAATTTGAGGTCGTTGAGGTTTTAACCTTAAAATTAATTGGCAATATAAGTCTCAACTTTTTATAATGATTATAAGCTCTTGTAAAGTTTCTTAATATTTTGAAGTGAGATAATTCTTCACATTCTCATAGCATCTCCAAGGGAGATATTAAATACCAAACATCAAATTTAAATTTGACGACTAATGTGGCAATTTGACATTTACACAGTTTTATACTCCACCCGATATGTCAAATAAATAATTATTGTAACAGTCAAATCATTTAAGATAAAGAATAAGAAAAATAAAAAAAAAGGAAATAATAAATGAAAATAACAGTCAACTATCTTTTAAAATTAATAAAATATTCATTTGACATATTGCTTTTAGAGCATCTCCAACCGATGTGTCAAACGTGCCATATAGATAACATCTCACATCACTCCAACCGATATGTCAAAGCTGATGTGGAATGAAGGCTAGAGGTTGAGATGTTATTTTTGACATCTCAAAAGCAAGATGTCAAATGAATATTTTATTATTTTTTAAAGACAGCTGACTATTACTTTCATTTATTATTTTCCTTTATTATTTTTTTTATTCTTTATCTTAAATGATTTGACTGTTACAATAATTATTTATTTGACATATCGGGTGGAGTGTAAAAGTATGTAAATGTCAAATTGCCACATCAGCCATCAAATTTAAATTTGATGTTTGGTATTTGACATCTCCCTCGGAGATGCTCTTAGGATGTCAAAAATAACATCTCAACCTCCAGCCTTCATTCCACATCAGATTTGACACATCGGTTGGAGTGATGTGAGATGTTATTTTTAGCCGTTAAATGTCTATGTGACACTTTTGACACATCGGTTGGAGATGCTCTCACACACTCCTAATATATGATGAAATTTTAAACCTAACACATGAATAATTTAACTGAGTGATGTTAAACACGTGTGGTTATTGTGATTAACACATGCAATCCAAACTCTGATATCATCATACCATAAATATAAAAAAAGTTAAAATTCCAACCCCAAAATTAATTGACAATGTGAGTTTATACAAGATAGATCATATAATCCACAATCTCCCTATAACCCCTAAAAAATTCGAAAGTAAATTTTTGGACTGAAAAAAAAAAACTAGAAGTAGGTGTATAGATGAATTTTATGAGCACATAGTTTGGCATTGCTAGAACACAACCTTTAGTGGACCGCGCATTGCATTGAGGGGGATGATACTTGAGCTTCATGGAATCTAAATACACATCAAATTGTCACTCTCCTGGTCCCCCTTGTCATAAATACATAATTATTTAGCTGTGCATTATTCAATTCAATAATATATATATACACACACATATGCATACATAACACACCGACTTTTGCAAGCGAACAGTCATTCTGGCTCTGTCATGTTATGCACGTGTTTGTTTTTACAAAAAGAAAAGAAATAGGTTGAACAACTCGAATAATACGCCTACAAAACAAAGTGCCAACTATGCCCTGGCAAATCATATCTGATGATTGTCATGAATTAGTGAATTTAGGTTTTAGTCACAAAAAAATTTTCACTTTTGGAAAAAACTAAAACTTTGCTTAAAAAGACAGAAAAACTTCTTAACTTTCAAATCAAAGACACGCAAATGTAAAAGATTCCTTAAGAAATCAAAAAATAAATAAAGGCATTTTTGTCCGTTTTGCCTTCTTTTAAAAATATTTCTCTCATTCGGCTTCGAACTCATCTTTGAAAGGTGATTCATTTAAAAGCTCAACCAAAATGAAAATGTTTAATCATTTTATTAATATTGCATGCAATGTTTACTAAACGAATGAATGAGTTTTTGATTTGACTGATTTGTTGCACAGATGAGTTTTAAATGCTGGTCGAAAATATAAACGTTATGATAAAAATGATGAGAACAGAATGAGAGAGTGTTGAAGGGGAAGATAAAAAGATAAATGTAACTAGCATTCGTCACATGGTTAATTTGGAAGTGAAGTGACCTCATGGCCAAGTAAGACGTCAAGAGTGAGTGAAGACATGTAATAATAAGGGAGATTCACAATCCAATATAGGGACTCAAATTATAAACTAATCCTATTTGGTGGCTGGTGATGGAAGAAGTATCGTGCTACTACCAGCACAATACTCTGTCCTTGGTTTGTTCAGTCGTTGTAATTAAAACATGTTTGGCCGACAATATTACTCGGGAGTATCTAAAACATGATTTTAGGGTTTTGCAGTCAAAACCATAGGCATTACAATAATGAAATGCATTTACATTACACAAACCACCATTATTCAATTCAAAGTGACAACGCAGGAACACTAGACAGCTGTAGGTGCATAAACTACAACCACCAAATCCAGCAAAAGGTATCCAACATCGATGTTAAATTGCCATTCGTTCTTCTGCTTCATATTTTTCTTTTACTTTTTCATTTTATACCAGCGATATTGAGGGAGGAAGTACCTCAAATGTAAGCGTAAATACTCTTAACCGCTTGGGCTGCAAGTACCTTTACTATTTTAACTCTTTTTTCTCTAAAGTTTGGAACAACGGGCAATGAATCAGAACTAGGGTTGAAATTTCCGATCTCTCATAAGTTGTCTGGTACTGTGGTGATTGGTTTTGATATTTGCTCTATAAAAAAGAGATAAATGATTAATAGCTCTATTATTCACATAAAATGTTTTTGGAAAAGAAAAAAAAAGCAACATTACTCGTGACTTTCCCTCATAAGCATCAAATATATATTAGCTCATAAGACATGAGGAGTTTTCCCTTTCTTACTTTGTACACGAAAAAACGAAAAACGAAAAACAAAATGAAGAGCATTCTCAACTATACACAGTGATGTTCTGAACAATATATCAGCAAGGCAAATTGGACGGGATAACAACAAATTATATTGGATAAAACTTTACGGTTGAAAACTGGATAATAACACCTCTCTTTTCGACATATTTACGAAAGCCCATAAGACTTTATATGTCCTGCAAGATTTCTGCCACCAGCAATAACAGTTGACCCAGATCGATCAACTTCTGGCACTACAGAGAACATAAACCGGATTGCCCTGTTTACAATTGATCGTAATTTATCTGCAATAACAGAGAACCAAAAAAATCAGAGCCAGAATCATATGCATCTTGTTAAAAAATCCATAACCTCATCCTCCAACGTGCAAACTAGTTTTGTTATTGGCAAAAAACCTAAGCAATGAGATTTCCCAGTAGAGATTTCCCAGTAGACCACTTTAATCTCAATCACATATAACCAAAATCCTCAAACACAATTGGTAAAGTTGAGGCAAGTTATGAAAGCTTGTCCTATATTTTACACACAAAATGGCTATAAGTAATTTTCATAATTTAACAAATGGAGCCTAAAGGAATTTGAGGAAGGATTCAGACATGATCATTACCTCCATGCTTCGGTTAGATCATGTCAGCTTTGAGCGCACTCAAATGGGTGCAAGCTTCCTTCAGCAAACTCATGTATACGAAAATGCTCCAGAATTTCAGAACGGCTGTACCTAACATAAATGGCATTAGTCATTGGATGAAAGAGAGGATTTCAACACCATGGGCAACAACACATATAATCTGAAATGAAACTTTGGATTAGACTAGTTAAAAGATCTAAAATTCCATGTGCACAATCGTGGATTCATTTTTCTCCCAGGACATGTTTGTATTAATCTCACAGTTTGAAGCACGTCTTATACATGTTGAGATTAAGTTTGGGAATTTCAGGTTTGAATGGGAAACCAGAGCACTCAGCAAGAACATGGGCTTGAATTCAGAGCAAAGAGAGTGAAAGGTCTGGCTGGCAACAATTTCCTGTGAAACATTCTATTAGCGGCAGAGGAGGAGACGACTGAGGTCGTGGGATGGCAGAAAATACAGTTCGGGAATGTACACGGTTAGAAACGTTGCATAACTCCAATAAAGCAATTTGGAAGCTATCACTAGATACCACTGACCTAGTTAGTTGGGATGTGGTTGAGCATGGCTGATCAAATGTGTGTGTGTGTGTGTGTGTGTGTGTGTGTGTGTTAATTCATCAATGCTCCAAACAAAATTAAAGAAATCACACAAAAGCACGAAAATGTTTAGTTTTGTTCAAAAATATTTTATGCAACATACTTATAAAAAGCAATTTTTCTTTGTAACAAATGGGATAATCACATAGACTTGGGAATTTTATAAGCCTTACAGGATAGTTTCACGATTATGAGTTAATCTGCGCTGATTGGCTTCCATCGCTACCAAAATGTCAGCAGTTTCTGGCCCTGCGGATCCACCAGCAACAATAGATGGGACTGAGGCACTTGGTGTCCATATCTAGAATAATGAACCACAGAAAATTCAGATATGATTTCATAATTGCCAGCTGCAGACCACCCCAAAAGAAAAAGAAAAGGGCTGATTTAATAATACCCACTTTTATTGTGTTGTCAATTCCACTAGTTGCCACAACACAATCAAATGGATGGCACTGTACACAGTTCACAACTGCAGAGAGGCATGAAAAAGTGTTACTCAATGAAACTACTATAGGAAGTCAGTAGTCCCATTATTTTCCGTCACAGGGGAAAACATTACCAGCTTCATCTCCTTGAAGCATTTTTATCAGTCTACCAGTTCGCTTCTCCCAGATAAACCATCTGCCATCATCACTTCCACTAGTGATATATTCGCCTGCAAATCAATACAGATAAGAAAATGACCACAAAATATTTATAGTTACTACCGGTTTCCTGCAAACTCAAACTCGTTCTTATACATGAGATAAATGATATAACTCATTAGTACAAAGGTAAATCCACAATGGATGTTTCACTAAAATAATAAACATAAGCACCATTACATTGATTCAATTTTATTTATTTATTTAATTATTTTGATTGGAAACAGAAACTTTTATTCAATAATGAAAGATAAATTACACGAAAAAGCCATCTATGCTCAACAGACAAACCAGAAAGATTTCTTACATCAGCTCATGGCTAACTACCAATCTTTCTACATTAAACTGAAGGTAATATCCCTGACATGCATGAGGAGAAAGTGACAAATGGCCATGCACTTTATTGAAAATCAAGCGAAGACTAAGAGATCCACAACATATCATGCAGGGACTACAAGATCCACTTTTAAAAAACAGATGTTAAGGGTTGGGCTCTACATTAACACCTTAATACTTGAGACCTACAAACCACCCTGTCAAGCAACAACAATGACACTGACAAAATCATCAATGTCATGTCTCCACCTAGTGATCAGATCCAAGACACCAAAAATATATTTTAGGATGTCATGTAGCACTTTTATGACGAGGCATTGAGGTATCTCTGCTATGTAGATTCATCTAAAGGAAGTAACCACACACTACGACAGAGGTTAACATTTCACAAAAAAATGTAAATTGCGCACATTTAATAGTAACATTCAATACCAAGAATGACTCAGAACTAATATGATCAAGACTCAACTTGCATTGTATCCTTATGCAATGAAGAGCAACACCAAAAACAAGTACCTCTCTGGCCAAGAAAGCTGGCCTGTTTTATGTCAGTTCCAACATTACAATGGCCAACATATCTCTGTTTCATATCAATAACTGCCTCAGGCTGCAATATAAATTTAAAAAGAAAATAAACATGTATTAAATTGAAGAAATCATTTTAATGATGTTACAGAAGAAAACAAGAGGATTTAACTTTGAGGCAATCCTGCAAAAGTAAAGGCAATTTACAAAAGAACTTGGCATGCGAAAAATGGACTGTTCTAAGCAAAGGGTGATGCAGAACAGAAAAAGAACAGAAGAAAATGAAATAGAAGTAAAAGTAAACTAATGACAAGTTCAACTACAATCTTTATATAGGCAACCTCATAATATTAAAATATCCAACGTATCCTGAAATAGACTGTAAGTTATATAAATAAAGTTAAATATATAATTAAACTCCTCTAAACTGATTTCTATCCTTGTGCCTAAGCCTAAAAATACCAATTTTCTTCTTGCATCCTTCAATTAAGGGCATATGAAGACTTCTCATGAAAAAAAGGGCAGAAAAGAATCTGTGACTACAAAATCAATACCTAAAATGAGGCTTAAAGAAAAAATTAGCACAATTGCATATATGTTCAGGCATGTCCAAAGGTGACTAAAAGGCAGCACTACATGTTATCACTTTGAAAGCACCAGAACTTTACATCATAAGAATGAAAGCAACCTGATATAGCAGCCTTTCATTTTGAGATGACGAAGAAGGGGATCCACATGAGCCGTTTGAACCACCTACTTCTCTAGCAGAATCACTTCTTCGATGAATTCTCAGGTTTAAACTTCCTTGTAGTATATTGGGCTCGACGTCATGCTCTTCATCACCTGATATCGACGTTTCAAAGTCAACCTCCACTTCCTCATCATAATCAGAATCTTCTCTCTCAGATCTTGGACCATCTTGTGAAGCATCACTATTACCCTCCGATCGATAAAGTATGTCACTCAGTGACAGTACTCTTCCACCTCGAGGTTCAGACCTGGGTGCTCCATCATTTGGCTTACCATTTCTTTCAGATTCAGCTGGCCATGAAACTACAGAGTTAGAATCTTGTGACAAAGAATTAATATAAAGATATCATAAATATAATGACTTATTAAGAAATACAATTGACACTCCAGTATGCTACCCTAGTTATTTAAAAAGACAGCAACAATAGAAAGAATGTACTACTCTAGTGGATAAAAAGGCAAAACATAATCAACTTATAAAGGCAAAATGTTTTAGTTCTAGCCTGCTTATAAAGGTCAAACCAGTACTACGGTAATGGATAAAAGGCGAAACATAAGGCAAAACATAATCAACTTTCGGGACAGCTATTAGAGGCTGATCAATTGACAATCTATCTGGGAAACGAAGGAATGTACCAAGACACTGAAAGTCACAAACCTGCAGCAAGATCCCTTTTTACATGCTCCAATCGGTCTGCTACTTCAGAATTTGATGGAGCCAAAGATTGGGCTGCGATAGCAAAGTCTAGAGCTTCTTTATGTTTAGCCAACTGCAAGGAAATATCAATTACCAACCAAAAATTGCTTAACAAACACAAATACAGGTTCAACCTCATCACAGTTTCCTTTTTCAGCCATAAACTAACAAATAGTTCCTAAACATTATAGGCTAAAAATCTAGGCCCTCAAGACAACAACAGAAATGGATGGTCTAAGCTAAATCCATAAGTAATTTATAAATCCAAGCCAAAAAAGCACCAAATATCGTGTGTGTCATTCTATGGTGGCTGAGCCATGACAGGACCTATGAGGCATTGGTGTGAAAACTTTATAACAGCTTTACATCTCTACACATTACTTTCTGGAACCCATAACACAGAGAATGTGCTACTGTCTTTATAGCATCAAAGCTGTGAATACTCCTAATTTTCAAATTAAGTTCTTCAACCCTTTTTTTTTTTTTTTTTCTGGACGAAAATTATAATAAATTGTTTAGTCTGAGAATGTAGGTTTGTCAAGTAAACCCTTGCTTTTGCGGAAGGTCTGTGAACAAGAGGAATTTGAGAAAATAATTAGGAAATTGCAATTGGGTCAAAGCATATTTGGGGCACATAATTTATTACGTGACACATAATCTAACAAGAACAATTGAGTGCAAGTCCAAATTTTTTGAAACTATCAGATCTATGATCTCAGCTCAGGGATGACAAGGAAATCATGACCAGATGGGAGAAGGAATAGATTCTCAAAGCAAAATGTTCTATTGCATCTTAGGTAACACCTATTCACTTAGAAAAATATTGGTTCTCTTGAGCTCAAACCATGCTGGCCTACAGAAGACTTAATTTAGATGTAGCTACATGAAATAATTTGTAAAATGTCATAATGACTTTAGACCTACAAAAAGAAAACAAATAAAACATTCCAGTAAATTGGCCAATTGGGAAAACCAGGATGACTGCAAAGGCAATGTTAACTTAAGTGGCTGGATTGGTCACAACATTTGGCGACTGCAACGCAATGGCTAACCAAATTCATACACTCAACTGCAGTAAGCACCACAAATTTACCTGCGATAAAGCTTCAGACATATAGTAATGAGCTCTGAAAGAGGAGCTATCGATTCTCCGAGCATTATAACAATCTCTTATGGCCATATGAACATCATTTTTCCACTTGCGCTGGGAAAAGAAAAAGGAAAAAATAATTAAATAAAGGAAAATATCAAACTAATGAATAATGTTCCCAACCAAGTAATTTCGCAAAATATCAAGAGAACCTTGAGCAACAATGCGGCACGAATACATAAACAATCATGCTTCAGTTTAAGCCCAATATCACAACCACATCCATCCAACACCTCATTGCACGCCTCAATACCATAAAAATACTCTGCCCCCTCCTCCAAGGATTTATCCGCAATTTCAATTAGTTTCCTGCACTTTGCAAGCTGAAACAACTATATTAGATAGCCAAAAAGGGTTAACAAAGAAACACCAGCTATAACCAATTCTTTTTGGCAAAGCCTATATAAAAATGACAAGGATACAAGTATAACTAAACAAGAAAAGATCCACACCCTAGCAGTGACATTGGCCCTTTTAGGAACACCATTTGTGAAGATCTTGGATGCTGGTTGATGCAGTTCTACCCCACTGAGTATAGGAGTGAGGCTCATTAACTTCGAAACATCTCCAGAAGTATACTGCACAGCACTCCCACTAGCTGGAAATTGCAAAACCAATCAAAATTGTTAGCTGGACATTATTAATATGATACAACCAGATGGAAAGAAAATTGACAAAGCAGAAAGTGATATCTAAAAAGCGCTTGTTGTCACAAATAGTCCAAGCATAAATTGAATCTGCATCTGAATCAATGATAAATTAAGCAATTTTGATCCTATAAACTACATCCGTAAATCACACCATTCAACTGCATTAGCAGAATAAGAATCAAGGCTAATTAACATACCATGATTTACATTCATCAAATATACATGCTCCCCACTATAACTAAGTAGAACCTCTTCTCCATCTGGACTAAATGCAACATGAGTCAAATGCATGCTTGCACGTCCCTGAAAAAAGAAGACACCTTTCTTCAAAATATATTTGATAAACTAATTGTTAAATTACTTCAGCTCAAACATACTAATAAACATCCAAAACTTCCGTTGACCATTTCTTGTTCCCCTTCCTAAAACAGGTTGGATATGAGGGGAAGAAGATTAGGATAACATGAAGAAAAAAAAATTTCCTTTAAAAAGATAAAAATAAGTCATAACCATAATAACTGAAAGAGTCCCCATGTTTTTGGGGTTGAGAGAAAGATGTGGCAATCACCCTCCAACGAAGCCTAAGCAAGACTTCAAGATTAAATTTTCTGCTAAACACTGCAACACCGTTGACTTAAACCACTATAATATATTGAAAAAGTACTAAACATCCAAAAGTTTAATCAAATAGCAGGACATAAGCACAACCCTCATATATTTTACCCCCCCAAAAAAAAACAACATTGGAGGTTTTTATAATGACAGAAAGCAGTTTGCTAATTAAGAACTTTGAACTAACACGATCAGAGAGGTGCATTGGACAGAAATAGTTAACACAAGGTGGCGGCGTTGTCCTTTTCCGACAGGATGTCAGTGGCGGTAGCATCCTTCTATCATATAAACGCGCAAACGCATCACTGCAAATATTCACAACGAGAAATCAGCTGAAATTGAAGAGCAGCAAGAAAGTACATAACGTCATTGACACAGCAAGTAAATACCTTCCACCAACTAGGAGCAAATGAGGCCTAGTGGAACTGATATCACAAGATTTCAAAGCAAAAGTTTGTTTCGGAGGATCTGCCAGTGACTTCTTTGCTCCACACCGCAAGTCAAGCTGCCATTAAGAACTATATGTGAAACCAATGATTTCCCAGTAATTATGGCAGAGAGGCAAATGCAAAGCACCTAAAGTTTCTGGCTCCAAAACAAACCTACGCAAGTAACTTTGCTGAATTTTTTTAAAGCAACAGACAAAGCTCCCTAGTTACAAAGAGCTGAACTACAATTAATATTTTAGGCAGAGCTCACAAAAATCAAAACTACAGAAACTAACTGGAGAATCAGACAGTGAATAAAGCAATGAACCCACAAGAGAGCCTACTGTGTAAAGGATCAAGCTGTTGCCTACTAATTGGGCTCTTTGACTCACACTTGCCCCAAATAAGATTCCTCGATATAGGCTTTTCATGTAAATTCACAATTGTATTATTGATACATTTTGAGAGTATAGAAAGAAGAAAGCAAATATTCACTGAGATAAAAGATTTAATTGGTAGTTCCTTAATCAACCTAAGCATATTATCAGTCAATCGTGGACATGCCACACTTGAGAAATCGCATCATGATTAAAAGAAAGATTTCACATCTAAGAACCCATTCCGGTGCCTGGTAAAGACTAAAGATAGCTACTTCCGTGTATCGAAAATATGAAATTAGGTTTTAGTTTTCTCTCGTTTCCTTCATCTTTCGTTCCCACTTTATATACTAACTTGCTATTAGATTATCTTTGTAAGACCCGTGTCTTGGGGAAACAAGAACGGTGAGCAATCCCACATTGCTCGGGGAGGGAAAGGTGAAGTGCTTAAATGTGTGGGCACTTCTCTTCCTAGCACGAGGCCTTTTGGGAGCTCACTGGCTTCGGATTCTTAGGAACTCCGAAGTTAAGCGATTTGGGGGCTAGAGCAATCCCAGGATGGGTGACCCACTGGGAAGTTGCTCGTGAGCTCCCAGAAACAAAACCGTGAGGGCAGAGAGGGGGGCCCAAAGCGGACAATATCGTGCTAGGGGAGTCGGGTCGTGACAAATGGTATCAGAGCCTGACCCCGACCGGAAGTGTGCCAGCGAGGACGCTGGGCCCCAAGGGGGGTGGATTGTAAGACCCGTGTCTTGGGGAAACAAGAACGGTGAGCAATCCCACATCGCTCGGGGAGGGAAAGGTGAAGTGCTTAAATGTGTGGGCACTTCTCTTCCTAGCACGAGGCCTTTTGGGAGCTCACTGGCTTCGGATTCTTAGGAACTCCGAAGTTAAGCGAGTTGGGGGCTAGAGCAATCCCAGGATGGGTGACCCACTGGGAAGTTGCTCGTGAGCTCCCAGAAACAAAACCGTGAGGGCAGAGAGGGGGGCCCAAAGCGGACAATATCGTGCTAGGGGAGTCGGGTCGTGACAATCTTTTCCACACAAAAATGGCACTACATTTAATTATAAAAAATTAAAAGTTAAAATAAAACCACTATTTTAATTTAACATCCCTAACCCACTCTAGAATTCCATCTAATTTTATAACTAGATAGAAGGGAGCATCTCCAACATGCTTCTCATGTGTGAAAAGGTAAAATATGCATGTGTGTGTATTCAATAGAAAATTTGGCAAATATGCATGCCAAATTATGAGATATTGCAGAAATACAAAGAGATCAACAAGTCTACAAAAATGCCTAGCTAAACCAGTTGCTAAAGCCTTTATTTAGCAGGACAGCTAAAATCCTCTACCAAGGAAATTTGATGTTTTCATATAAACAAAGATGAACATAAAAAAGTCTAATTAACATAAGTGCTTACTAAAACATTTCGACATTCTTGATGGGTGGATCCAGCAGGAGGGCATGAAGTTCCCTCTCGAAAGTCATGCTGTCTCAAAGTTCCATCTTCACTTGCACTCCATACTACATTGGGATTTCCAACTTCAACCTGAAATGAAACTGTGAGACCCTAGCAAGTATAAGCAAGGTAAATATTCATAAAACAATGAACAACCCAACAATGCATTAACTTTCTTTCCATGCCAATATAACTACCATAAACAAATTTAACATCAAGTTTTTCTATATGCTGGAATCTTACAGCTAACTTTTTAACTCTTCTAGTATGACATTGATACAGAGCTGATGGAGCGATAGCATTATCATCAGTTCCTCTCCCACTCAAATGAGACAAATTAAATAATCGAACCTGCAGAAAGATAAGCAAGTTAACTTATAATCAGTATTTAACTGTCAGCAAAAAGCATTCAACATTTGCAATTTATAAATATCCAAACATTACTTCTGCATCTCCAGCTCCGGAGACCACAAGCTCATCAGAAGTTTCAGGGACAAATTTTGTACAAAATATGTTCGCACAGTGCCCAGTCTCTATAGAATGCAAAAGCTTCCGACTAGCATAGCTCCAGATATTTATCTGCAGAGTATTGTGGAGGCATTAATAACATTTTCATGTTGCAAAACATGTACAAAAACATGTCCCAAGGTTCCATCTTCACTAGCCCTTTAAGAAGCATTACCGAGTTTTTGACTTCAACAACAAAAGATCATTCCAATGTAAAAGAAGACTTAACTTCTGCTAAGCACCATATATCTCATCCATATTTCCTTATCCATGAAGAGATAGCCACATAAAGAGCAATCTAATGCAATGTGAAAATAATTTTCGATGAAGAAATATACGACCCGTCAGATTTTAGTTCCGAAGCATATTAACACATATATCCAAGCCAATAGGATGAAACTAGGAAGTATTCTGCATCCTTAACTACGTACAATAATACTTCACACACCATACCAGTATCTTCTATTTTGTGCTACCAATATGTCACTTAGGAAATGTTATGAGTAACAATATGAAATCAAGTAATTAACATACCCGTGTGTCATCTGATCCAGATATCAATAGTGAACCTCTAGAATTCCAAGCGATAGAATTGACACAACCCTGATGCCCCTGGAGAGAGAGAGAGAGAGAGAGAGAGAGAGAGAGAGTCATTAAATGACAATTATAGATAAGCAACCGTATTTGTTTTCCAACTCAATGGAATTTTTTCCATGGCACATGTCCAAAGAAAAATTCAGAAATATACTCAAAAGGTGAATTAAGAAATACTCACTAAAATTAGTATACACAGCCAAAATTTCATATATCCTAACCACAACTGCCCACCGGAAGCTTAAGATTAGAAATCATACTAGTTTGATGTACCAAAGATCTTAAGCACCAAATAAGATTTGCACCATTGTAGTTGTACGTATATGTCAAGAATGAAGTTTCACCAATAAGACACTCTACAATCTATACACTACTTTTATCTGTTTAGGACATTTACAGCACAGATATCTTTCTCCTCAGGTTGAAAAAGTGCCTCTCTGAACAACGTGATATGATGAACCCCAGTAAGACATCTAGGTTCCCCAAATTGTAGGAACTCATAAATAATGACCACGGCAAGCCCCAAATGCAGAAGTTTAATTGGCAGTTGTCCCCCCACACCACGAGAAGTTCACCCAGATGCCTTGGAAGTGTCATTACAGTCTCCAACTCATCCTGAGAGTGAATCTCTTAAGTTGAGTACAATTGAGGCGGTGTTTGCCCAACTAGCTACTTAATTCAGTCTTGTCTCTAAAAAATTCCTAAGAAACAATTTGATAATATTTGAAATTGAGTGGATTTACAATAGTTTAACTCACCAATGAACACTAGCATTCATTGAGAACTAGTTTTCAGTGGAACCATGTTTTCTCTAACTGTAAATCCACAAATAACAGCTGAAGAACCAGTATGTTACTTCGCTTTTTTTTTTCTTTCCTTTTTTAAAAGCAAAAGTGCAAAACTAAGAACACACGACTGACCGATCTCTCAACTCTGCCTATAGGCAATAAAATTACATCATTCGTGTATTTGGTGGTAACAATGAGAATTACCAGTAAAATATTACAACATTCTGTGAATACTTACCATTAACACATTTCAATTGCCTTAGATTACCACACTCTCTACTTCACACAAAAATTCACATGTACTGAAATTTTTTGAGTCTTTGGCAGAATAATATTAGCTGGAAGCGAATTGAAATGGTGCATAGCTATAACATGGCATAAATAAACAAAATTGAAGCCAACCTCCAATTCTCTTTCCAGAGAAAGCCTTCGAACCAACGACGAGTGCATCTGCAAGCTGTGATTGCCATTCTACACACACCAAAAATTATTCATCGCATCACAAACAAAAAACACAAGCGAATTGCGAAAGCTTAAGCAACCACAATTCCAAACGCGAACGCGAGAGAGAGAGGAAATATACGTTGCGAACGTCGACGTATCGGCTCTCAATCAAGTCGTGGATGTTACCGTCGTGACAGAAGAAGCGCTTCTCGATTCTTCTTCCACAGCTTTTTATTCAATTTGTCCAATCTTTTAAGGAACACGAACACTCGGCTTTTTCCTGAAAATTGTTTGATTTAATTTTATTCATTTTACAGTTTCTAATATATATTTTTCACAAGGACGCAATCACGATTTATTTTATTTTTATTATTTGTGTAAAAAATTATAGTGTGATGGTGTCGTCTGGGAGCGCGCATTTTCCACCTTCTAGGAAGCTCGACGGCTGTGATACGTTTGCGTTGTGTTCAAGCGCCGTTGATCTTCTTTTTTGGGCGGTGATTGATATGGCTGAAACTTGGAAGCTTTACTTAGGTTCTGCATTCGGGACCCACTATATCGTCATGTATTGTTTGTTACCTCTAAGTGGGCCAGCGGTATGTCGTTTTCTAAAAGTGCTGTTTTATGGACCAAACGACGAGGCTTGGGCCAGCACTGTATAGCCAGAATTTTACCATGTTTGGGTTTAAACATTTGATACTTTTGGAGCTTTCGAAGCCCAGATGTTCGGCGAGGGCTCAAAAAAGAACACGAAAAACTCATGACAGATATTTGAATTATCTGGGTCTTTTCAAAGCCCGAATCATCATCAGCAAATATTAGTGATATATCATGCAACTTATATTTTCTTTTGTAATCACATTTGCATGATAATAAACATCATATAATTGCAGGATACTACATTGATATAGGCATATGAGTCAATCAAAAATGACGAATAAGCTTTATTAAGTTTGAGATATTGGAGAAAACTAGAGTTCAAATACTTTATTTGTCAAATTTACATAAAATTACACATTTAGTAGTCATCGTGGCCAACATATTGAGAGTATATATCAAATTTTGCTTACATTTATACGTTGGGCTTTTGTGGCTTTAAGATAAAATATCTTCACGGATCAGACAAGTCGGATGATGCCATACAGGTTGGCATGTGGTTTGAGGGAAATGATTTCTTATTGACCCATCTTATGTACTCACTTTCTCCGTACTGTTGCAACACACTACCCAAACATTGGAGTTTTGTACTTCTTTGGGGTTTTTCTGCTCTATTTGTTCCTTATACCGAGATATGCTCACATTCCCAATCTCATCACTTATTTTATCTACGCTAATTTCTTGCCACTCAAGTATTTTCAAAATCAAGAACAGATAAACCATCGTCTCGTCTTTCACTGAAAACATTTAATTTACCTGAAAAAAAAAGAGAGATTATCAGCCAGTTAATTTTGTGCAGATGATTATTGATATTAAACACAATATCTTTGCATTTCAAGAAACAAATGCCCATCTTTGTAACAGCTTTACATAATTATTTGATGCTGCTTGTTAGCCATTTTGATTTGAAGTAAGAGTTAAGATTATACATGTGTTACATCATAGGGTTATTTTACATTATTCCTCCCACCCGCACCCGTGCCCTTCATGCACATATATTTTCCTCTCACTAATAATGCAAAACTCAGTGGTCCCTTCACCATCAAAACAGCATCACATCACATCCATCATCTACAATTTTAAAGGAGTTCTGCAACAACATAATTTGAACAAAACAAAACCCTAAAGGAATCCACACAAACACATCGCTATCTCAATATCATAAATGCGTGCATGCGACGTAAGTACATATACATCAGGACAACAAATAACACCAACCAACATAAATTTACATCAACCAAAACCCTTAGGATAATCACAGTAAAATCTTCAAATAATAGTGCCAATACAGTGAAATTTCCATATTTGTTTTTTGGCTGCCTCTGTTCACATAGCTGTCTTGAATTGAATTTGCATAAAATGGTTGGTTTTGGAGATGGAATTGGGGCCCCTTTTGGCAAGTTGCATGATGGAGTGGAGAAGGCCTTCTCTTGCTCGTGCAAACTTGTAAATCAGATAAAGTAAAAAAGAAGAGAGAAACCCTACACAAGATGAACATGACAAGTAAACAAAAAAAGTGTGAAGAAAGTGAAGTTTGGGACCCAAAAACAACCCAAGGGGCGTGCACTCTTCTCTTTCTTGGGGCCCCTCTTCAGAATAAACAAAGTCTTTCAATCCACCCCATGCCCAGGTGCGGATGTCACTTTCTCTTAAACCTAAAAGAAATCATTCACCTCCCTTTATTGGGGCATAATGTAAAGCACTCTCTTTTCTTCTTCCCTTGGTTTTGAGAGAAAATATCACAAAACCAAAACTCTCTGCTGATTTCCCACTCCAATCATTGAGGAAATACTCTTCGGAGGGATTCAAGCTCTTCTTCCTCTCCACTTGCTGCTACAAATTTAACCACACCTTAGCTGGAACCTCTTATGTCAGACCATATCCACAAGCAACTCATGTACACCGGACTTATTTTCAATAATCACGTTAACAATTACTAATCAACAATACTTGAGAATGACAAAGAGTAAAGTGCCCACTAGAAACAATGCTGGAATGGACATATCCGAACTCAGAGAGAATCAAGTCCGAAGGCCTTGGCTTTGAGCTTCAATGACTTTAAATAGTGGATGGCTTCGTCAAGCACCACCATTGCATCCTTCCCCTTGCCGCCAGGAATTATGTTCTGCAGAATGTTCACAGTTTCACGTATTTTTTCCTTTCTCATTTTCTTGTTGCTGGATAAGGAATCCACTTCTCTGAACCCAGAACTTCGGTTGCAGGCACAACTGGATTCTGCATCATCCTCTAACTCCAACGATCGGTTGGGTTTCATGGAACTCGCAGTGTCCATTATGGATGGTACCTCACCATAACCTCCATCAAATAGCTTCCGCTTTTTAGTCATTCCAGCAGAACTAGCAACTTCTTCGGTCCTTTCTTCAAACCAATTTTTCTTATCATGAACTGTCATTGTACTGGGGGAATGACCTGTGCTAGTAACTTCATCGTCCTCTTCGGTATAATCACTATCACCATCTGAGTAGAGCAAGGCATTCAGTTCTTCTGTGTCTTCATGCATCTCACTTTGAGCACCACTTTCATCGTTTCCTTTCAGCTCATCAGTCAAATTTGCTCCTGATAGATTTTTCAAATCTCTTCCAGTTTGAGGATCATCCCCGTTCAAATAATAAGCCCCTTGTTGGTTTGGATTCCAAGAAGTACGGCACAGCAAAGGATTCACAATCCCAGAACCAAAGACAAAAGTTGTTTGATCCCCTGACGAATTGTTAACAAGAAGTCTCTTTTGTTCACAGACAGAGTCTGCATTGGGTACCAATGTGTCCCCCGGACTTTCATAACGGCAAGCAGAAAGTTTCTCTCTGAGAACAGAGTGTGCAGCAGGCACAAAGGCCTGTCTGATACGGGGTAAGCAATAGAACCAACCGTGAGGTTCATTTGGTCTGCCAATTTGTGGATGGGGCAACTCAGGAGATGCATATGCTGGCGAAGTACCATTTGGCACAGGCATATTAGGGCCAGGGTTACCATATGCAGAAATGAAGTTGTGTTGCCCCAAGCCATGTGGAGCACCGAAGGAATTTGGATCGGGAGGTTGCCAGCCAAGATGCAGCTGAGGAATCCACGTTCCAAAATCTTCACCCATCCAACTAAAACAAATACCTAAAAATTAAATAAATTTTTTTAGAAACTTAAAGATTAAAAAAACCAAGAACAATAAATAATGATGTATCAAATGGACAATATAAAACATACCAGAAGGACGTATGTACAACTAGAAACAGCTGATTTATGTCTCTCTTTCAGCAACAATGAAATAAACTAAAAACGCCAGCTTAAACTTGAACACAAAAGCGCAGAATCTTCCTACGTTACAGGTTTGAGCAAATGACGAAAATATTCAGCCTGGAAAATACCCAAGAATCATATTAGGCATCATCAACCACTGCCAAGCATGAAAAAATAAAAAGGAATCTACAGAAAATGAACGGATAAATTCGAAACACGAAACAGGTGAATCTGATTCTTCTCTCTTAAACGTACTGGCAACAAGTATTAAATTATCCTTGACTAACCTGGCAATCCTGGAGAGGTTGAAAGCATGCTATAACTCTAACAATTATGGTGGCGCTCCCATCAATCCCATTTTCATGTTTCAAAGCCCGAAATCTTGTTTGGCTCGCTGCTTGGCACACCATAACTAAACAACTTCCCGGCACTTGAATATTTTGGGAATGAGAACAGTCTTCCAAACAACAACAATTCCACCACACGGCAAAACCCAAAACTAGATTGAGCAGACTGATAGACAAGAAAGAGAGACTGAACCAGCAAAACAAGCAGGGTTGGTTGATGAATGAGAACGAAAGAGAGAAAATATGAAAAGGGTTGATGATGTAAAGCAAAAGTTAACCAACTACAAGAAAATGAATATGGACTGAAACAGAACTTCAGCAAAAGGTTTCGGATTTTTCTGATTCAACTAATCTGACGAACATAACAAGGAACGACGATGAAGAAAGTGGATCCCATGGAAAATATCAGGTAAGAAAGACTAAGAAAATTGAAGGATTGTTATTAAACGCTCACAGCTCGGTAAAAAAGAACAATTACAGAATAACTCTACAGTAAAGGTTCAAAGAGATGACTTTGCGAAAAACATCAACAGAGAGACTCAGACACCACCGCATGCTGTTCTGGTCTTACCCAAAAGCTAATTTATCGATCTCCACCACTTCTTCCTCTATCCCCTGCAATGGAAAATCAGTCTATCAGGCACAGTTCTCTAGCTATTTCACTTGGTTTTGTGCTGAGGCAAGCTTTGCCTGCTCAAAACTCAATTTTTATCAAAATGTTTGTGTTTTCTTAACACGAAAAAAATTCCCTTTTCATTTTCCGGCGAACCAAACTGGGAGTCGAGATCCAAAAAAACATGAACAAATCCACCATTCCGCCATTAAAAATTACGAGATTGAAGAGACAACTTACAGTATACGAAAACCCAATTCGAGAACAAGATTGGTTAAGCCGTGCGTGAGAGAGCAAGATCGAATTACAGAACTCAGGACGCTTTCAGAAGAAGCAGAGGAAAGTGGGTCTGAGAGAGGAGAGAGAGTAGGGAATGCAAATACAGTCAAAAACTAACCGTGGGGAGAGCACGGAGGCTGAGATTATATAGAAATGAATTTTACCGAAATGTCCCTGGTTGGGGGGTGTCAATTTCCTTTTTGTTTTTTTAAATATATTTTTTTTTTGGCGACAAAAGATAGATAAAGGGTGTTGGGGTGGCCCCGTGACCGTGGGTGGTTTTATCATCACCCTCACCTGGAGTTAGCATTTGAGTCAGGTCAAATAGTCAACGGCCGTATTGACCACGTTGTTGGGTTCGAACCAAACACGGCCTTAACTCTGGTTGGCTTCTTCCGTCTCAGTGTTGGGACGCTTCTGCTGTACTGCACACGTGTCTTGTTTCTCTTCTTCGTGCATCTCATCATTTTCTATCTTTAAATTTCCTAAAATACCCTTATGGTATCATTTAGAATGATCGCGTATTTGCCCTTCTCATTATCATTTTGGTAAGCATTAGTTAGGTTTTATCATACTTGCTATTTTTGGTATAACTTTTCCCTTTTTTCTTATTCTGGAAATGGAGGTCTTGAATTGAATTCTACTTATAGTCCTACCACCGAAAGCAGAAAATTAGAACTCACTTGGTATGATTTTACTTATTTCTTTCCAAAATTTGCATTCGAAACCTATTTCAAATGACAAATGAATGGTTTATGTTTTTTTTATTTTTTTATAATGCAATATTCAAACTATTTTAATGTATAAAGAGGGAGATCGAATTGAAATGCAATAATGCCTTGGTCAACTTACCTTATTTATGATAATTTATCAATAATAAACTTTAACAAGCCTCGTCAAATTTGCCATATTTGTCACTTTGTTTTCTAACTTTTTTTGGTTACATTGGAAGAAATAAATCCTACTAGAGTTCGATCCTAAGTGCGATGGGGAAGGGGGAATCCACCACTACTGTGGTGGGAACACATTGACTTAGTTCTCTAACTTTCAATTGAACTCAAACTATTTTCTTAACTTTATTCCGCGTATTGACAATTTCTATAGAAGAAAAAAAAAACACATTAAGAAGTTGTTATTTACAACCAAAGTTTTTCATTGTGCAACCAAAAACTTATATTTCATTGTTTTCATTATTTTTGCCTTAAAAAACAAAGTATTCTTTAGCACTTACCACTTTATTGTTAGGTCCCTTATTTTGAAATTAACAAAAGAGTACTTACTTTAAGATTTCATACATTAGCGACTATCAACAGTTCATGCATAACTTGTATACATAAATGTTATTACATTTTTGCCCTTATAACTGATAAACTCGAGTTGAATATCATCCTTTTATCTTGATATCATGAGAACCACTTAAGGTGGTAACATGAATGGAAACATATTAGGTGCTCTCACTTTTCAGTATGCCACAAACGGTGAAATGATGCAAGGCAGGGCAAAAGGGATGGTGGAAGAAGAAGGAAAGGCAAATTAGGGCAAATGTATATACAGGTTATAAAGATTAAAAAAAATTAATAATAATAATAAAAGGATGGCATCCAATGTTTTACATGAACACCAATAATTTGGAGCTTGACCATTCAAACACACGAATTATAGATGCATTTATGGGGGTCCCACTGATCTGGATTGGGTAATGTGATATCCAAGACTCACACTACGCCTGACATATTGCATCTCTTCTCTTTGCTACTATTTATCCATCAATGTCCTCTTTCAGTGTTAGGGTTAGGGTTAGGGTTAGGGGGTGGTTAAAAGGCCAATAGGTCTAGACCCCGCCACATATAGAGTACAATAATACTTTTCATTGATGTGCCTCAACCATCAAAGTAGCCATCAATTGGTTGGCCCAAACCAAGAGTGAAGAGTCGGGAGCATTTGATTAAGCTTAATCACCCTATGATTTACCACATGGTTCACATTTATTTAATCAAAGCATGTATTTCTTTCGGTAAATCAAAATTAGGATCATTTTATGTTTTTGCTTCAAAAGATGTATAGTTTTGTTGTTATCCTACCGAAGACGACATTCAATTGCACGTCTAGAGTAATTTTTTACACTCTCTTTTTATATGTAATTGTGTCAAGCGCATCTCCAAGAGTACTACGAAACTTTTTTCATCAAAAAATGATACTAAAACTTGACTCCTTAAAAATGAGGAGTTCCTTCTCACAACAATTGAGATTTTAACACTTCTCAAATTCAACAATTGCTATTTTAATGGGACACAATTTTTATTATTATTTTGGTCGGATGCTCTTTCTTAATTCTTGATTAAAAACACAAAAATAAAAAACCAAAAGCGACTAGTATAGTAATAATTTTAAAATATAACTTACATTAATAATAAGATAAATGGTTCGACATAGGCAGACAAGTTAAGAATAATTATTATTATTTTTTAAAAAAATTCCCTTATTTAATTAAACTGCAAAATTTATCATAGGATTCTAATTTGATATGTGACAGACTTTAAACAACGAGACCACACAGACAGGGGCCTGCATTAAAAAAAAGTATGAAGAAAAAGAAGTGGAGCAAGAAGAAGCTAAACCCTAGTGGCTAGTGCCCACTGTGGTTAAACCAAAAAAAATATAATAATAAAAAGGTAGACCCATGATTTGATCAGCTGAAAGAGATCTTAAGGCACAGATAAGAAGATCTAAAGGACCTAATTATAAATGTATTTAGGGTTTATTTAATTGGCAATAATATACATACTTTCATGCCCTCTTGTTTGGAGTGGAGGGAACAATGGCCACGCCCAATCAAGTCTCTTCCTCCCCTCCCAATCTCATTGGGTCGACCCTTTTGGTGGCACTGAAACACTCTCCCTTGTACAAACTACAAAATGAGATGTAAAGCAAGGATTCTTTGTTCAATGTTCATCTCAAAAACAAGTGTTTTTTTTTTTTTTTTTTTTAAAGAAAAAGAAATATTGCTTTCCTCCGCACGTCTTATGTGTTATTTAATCATCATAGCCACTTTGAATATCAGAGAATTTTATACTTTATGATCTTTCAAGAATAAATTTGTTGAATGGTGGTTGTGGATTGACCACTTGACTAAAGTCCTTTTGTAGCACGAATTTTTATTATTATTTATTTTGTTTTGTTTTTAAAGTTCAAGCTTAGCAGCTTACCCACCAAGAAGAAAGGAATGGATGATTCTGTGTAATGCATTTGGGCTGAATCACAGCTAGTGGACCCTCCATTTTCTGTGGAGTCCGGCGGTTTTATGTTTTCTTTCTAAAAACAATACATTATTGGTATGTGGTTAATGTGCTTTGCTTCAAATTTATGAAGGAGGGGGAAATCGAATTTGTGTGAAAGCGTTCGGCACACTGATATGAACAACTCGTTAAATTCGTATATACTTTATTGAGCTAATTTTGTCATAATCTTTTTAAATCGTTGGGAATTTTGGTCCTTTTTGTCTAATCGGATGTTAATATTCTAAAATGAGGGAGCCGATGCGCATGGGACATTGTTAACAGATTAAGATACAATAAACAAATTAATTAAAACGAAAAAATCCAAGCTTATAAGGACCAACAATTTGTTTAAATCTATAGTCTTGATTTAACAGTCTAATAAAGTATATATGTTCTTAAGCTAAGAATGTAAAGATGTATGTTGGTGTACATGGTTTTATGATTGACATAAATGATTTGTTTCAACAAATAATCAAATGCATATGCTTTTAGGGTTTAACTTGCCTTCAAATCACATATAGCACAAGCTCCTTCACAATCATGGTGAAAGCAATGGACAACTTCTATCAAGCATGATAGATGCACATTCTTAAATTAAATAAACTGTAAGCATTGATTGGGACATTTTATTTGATCTTGAAATGTTTTATGTTCATGTTTCAATTTTTTTATATTAAATTACTATCTTTTTCAATATGCATTAAACGAGAGCAGTTCTCAACAAAATTTATTTGAAGACATTAGAGTTGTTATTGACACTTCGAAAAAATTATCATGCACTTCATAGAAGTTGTTATTCTTTTATAAGGGGAGAGACGTGTAATTTATCGCTTTCGTTGTTATAAAAGATGAGTACATAATGATTTTTTTTGAAGTGCCTAACAGCTTCCAAATATATGATATTAACTTATACAACATTTTGGATTGTTTGATATGATAGACAGTACTGCATATTACAACCTTCTATTGAAAAAAAAAAAAAAACAAAAACAAAGGAAGAGTTGATAGTGCCGGACATCTGAAGATTAGAGACGTGAAACGTATCACGTTGTGATTGACATGAATTTTATATAATTGTATTTATAGAAAAGAGAGGGAGAGAGAATTTCTTTAGGAGAGACCATTGTGATTAAAGTTAATTAACATGTATTTGAGTTTGGTGGGGGAGCGTGGGACATGAGACCATGGAGCCATTTGGTTGTGGAATCTCCAACAAAAACATCCACGCTTAGAAAGCTAAAACAATACTCTCTCCACCAGCCCGCACTAAAAGCTCATATGCCGTGCTTTTCATAAAAATAAAAACACAAAACCACAAAATAAAAGGAAAGAGAGCAAAAAAGTGCAGGAATCCATGCCCTCTCTCTCCCTCCTCCCATATTTTATGGCAACATACATACCACCCACTTTCTTAGACTTTTTTCCACCTTAACTTTATTTATTAATTTACCCAAAGAAAATGTCCCATTACGTAGTGTCAACCCTCTCCATCTCTTTGTTTAATTAGGTGTGTTTGGAAGTTAATATAGTAGTTGTTCGAGATTGCACGATTGATTAAGTTGGTGTGGTTAGGCTTGAAATTTACATCATCAAACACGTGCAACCAAGCACGCCTCCATGAAAAGAAAGAAAAATATGGAATTATGATGGGCAAGTTTCAAGTGTCTTCCTCTAATTATTAAGGTTCTGATGTAAGGTTTGGTGCTTATATAATTGGTTTTGGTTGAGGCCATTTATCAGACCTAATTATTTAGCATTTGTGGGTAGTTATATGTTTTTGTTAGAAGCATATAAAAACATAAGTATTCGGTTTTAGATTTTCACTAAACTACGTACATATTCTTAATTTGGTAATATGATGTAACG